GCGTCAACCGATAACTTTGAAAAAAATTCATTTCCATCGATGGTACGTGCCCTCAATTTTCCACGCTTTTACCTGCTAAATCTTGTTCAGATTAAACAGAGCTGAAGATCTATAAATCAGCAAAACTGTAACACGTGGTTCTCAAGTGGCGATTTGCAGTGCCGATACAAAATAACGTCCATGCGACAGATAATAGTGCCTAAAGTGTCGCCAAGTGTATGTTTGCAATTTGTAAACATCAGCGCTTCGTAAAAAAAGAAAATAATAAAAATTCGGTATAACTAGGTTTTCATCTGAAAATGAATCGTTACAATGCAAAACCGTCGAATAATTTCATCTCCCGCTGTGATACCTAGTTAAATAACAAAAAAGATTCCGTTTCGCTTGCTTACGAAAAAGATTTAGCATTGGGTCATATTTGACCCGGCTTTGGCTCGCGCCATTCGCTGTCGAAGGGTTAATCATTCCGTCCGAATCGTTCGTTTCGTCTAACAGATCCGTCAAAACCGAACAAAGCTGAAATTCCTCCAATTCCGTACCGAAATCGATTCTGAATAACTGTGACCAGTCGTTCGACGGTTAACACACTCGAACAGACTGTACGATGATCTAGCGAACATTGGTGAAAGCAAAACGTGTTCACGGGACCGAACAACGTGGAAACCACCGAGAGAACATCCGCGAGAATTAGTTACTGCGTTAAATTTCCACGTGTGAAACCACAAATCGCGTTTGAACTGACGTTCTGCCGTGCGCGATGAAGTGAACCTCGTGTTTGCGGCGACGTCGATCCATCGATCGGGTGCGTGTCGAGGGAGAACATATGGGATGGAAAAACATCGAGTCGTGAATCGAGGAGAGGAAAAAAAGAAACATGGGAATGCTGATCCGTGAAAATGGTAATGGATGGAATAATGTTGCGACATTTGTCCAACGCGAGAAACCATCATCAGCTGACCAATTAACCTTTTCCTTACTAAACGTGACTAGAATCAACCATTGTCGAGCTGTATATTAAAGGTGACTGTACAGGTTTTGCAAATCAAATTCACTCCTTTGCAAATGAAGCTTTTCTACAAAATTGCTTTCTTAAGCTTAACATTTGTTTGACAACGACGGGAGTCCTTAACACTAGGTTTACGGGACGCGCCATTTTGACGCATTTCGAATTTCACTAGGACAATTACAGAAACCGATTACATTTCTCTCTTACCACTTATGCTTATTATAAATTTTATATAAATATATTGTTCATATTAGCATTCATTTATACGTTCATAGTGTACAATACGTTGTTTTTGAATAAAATAAGTTGCTTTTTAAAGAAAATATGCGGTTTCATTTGACGCGTGGCCGTAGAGATAGGTATACCAGATATGTCCGTAAACCTAGTGTTAAAGAAATAAAAACGCGATGGGTCATAAAGACCCAAACACCGTAGTAGGATTAACAGTAAACTTGTGAATATAGATAGTCGAGGTATTGAAGAATACCACTGATTGTTAGTTTTTTATTCGCCATAGAGATTTTGTACTCCAAATTCAGCTTTTTGCAAATCAAATTCTCCCGTCTGTTTATATTCTGTTCCAACCTGAAATCACAATTTAAAGGAAATTACTCTTTCTCGTAAATTATAAACTACCCATTTAGTGAAAAATAGAATTGCTCCGATTTTACTTTACTGCACAAGAGAAAGATGTAATATTGAGTTCACATATAATGATTAGTATTGCGGCACATTTTCAAAATGTTCTTCTCTATTATTAAATATCTGCACACAGTTTTCATACTATACTCGTATATAATTATGAATTCCATATGTAATGAATTGGTAATTACTATTGAACGAGTGTTTCATGTGTATCTTTGTTGAATTCCTTAAGAATAAATTTACATTTGATAGCGGATGTTCGATACAAAAGATGTAGGATAAAGAAATTCGTATTTAACGAGGAGATCTCTGAATAAGGTTTCTGAATAGCTTGGAAAATCGTTTATTCCTTTTTCCGTTCAGTTTCGCTGGTTCGAGTATCTCTTCTTTTCCTTTTAATTAATTGGGCTTAATATTTATGTTTTTTCTTTTCTTTGAATGAGATAAATCTAAGTAAATGGCATATTAATGGTGAACTTGCATTTATGTGTGATATGTTGAATCATGGTTGCGATAAGACGTGACAAGCAGGGGAATTGACATGTGTTTCATTGCAATGGAGAATTTGTCAAACTTAAAATTTCTTAAAGCATGAAAAATTATAAAAAATAATGCAACCAAAAATTTGTTAAAATATAATCTTTCGACTATTACAATTTATACTTTGAAAATTCCTCCGCATTATTTTTTCCTTGATAAATCTTCCTTTTAATATTATCATAGATCATATTAACATACTCGCTTCAAGCAATAAAATATTTCATCCTGTCATCGAGCAATGAAAAAAAATCATTTTCCAGAAAATTACTAAAATTCACAAATCAATCTAATTCGATTAATCTACGAATATCAAATTTTCTTTCTTCTTCAACAATTACCCCAATATTACACAGTGGCTAAAATTTTAACACTACAAATCTTCCAAAACAATCCTATCAAAATATGAACACAATCACAGTTCATAATTCATTTCTTATCACTTCAACCAACAAGTATCTCCAATTTAAAAACGCACTAATCGACAGATTAAACCTTAACAATACTAATAACAAAAAAAAAACAAACAATGATATCTTGTTAAAGTAAACGAAAAACATTTGCAGTATTGTACTGCTGTTAGGAAAAATTCACCGATAAGAGATAACGAGAAAGGAAAGCATTACGAATGAATGCACGATTGAAGGAAAAGTGTGTGCAGTAAATGGTAAAAGTGGAACGTTTTTGCAATTAGAGTATGAAGACTCGAGCTCAGTCAGTCAGGAGTAATGGCAACTCAAATAAGTACATTTTATCTGCGTCAATATCAGGTGGTCGTTGTGGCAGTGATACACGTCGATGGTGGATGATGGAATACACATTAATCATGCCCGTAGGGAATCGCGCATCGCACGTTTCAACGTTTATCCATTGATCGTAGATACGTGTGACACGTAATATACGGAAGACAGTCTAATCGAGTGTTCCAACAATGTTGAGGAGCGAAAAGTGGAGCAAATAATAGAATCTCCGTGTGAAAATAAAAAATCAGGATTAATCGTTTTTGATATTCCACTTTTTAAGTCGTTCTATGGTCGACTTTATATTTGTAATTGAATTCAGCGAGATCAGAAACGACAAAGGCAAATTTTTCTATTTTGAAAAGCCAATTAAAAATTAATTTCCTGATCTCACGAATTTCTTTTTTGGAAATCAATTCTTAATTTGAATTAATATCAATATTACTGATATTTACTTTGAAGTAATTTTGCGAGATCAGAAAATTAATTTTGCATTCAATTTTCAAAATAAAAAAAATTCTTCTACGTTGCTTCCGGTCTCGCTGAATTTAATTGTAAACTTGAAATTGACCCTAAAATGGCTCAAAAGCGGGGCATTAAAAACGATTAATCCTGATTTTGAAATTTTTTAAAAGAATATCCTGCCTTGTTTCTGAAAGAATAGGAGCGACTTAAGCCGTTTCTAATCTCACCGATTCAATTAGAAGATAAACTTCTGTGCATAATATTCTAAATTATGAATATTATCGGTTAGAAAATTTACACTGCAAAATGGAATATCACGGAGTTGCACTGTATAAATTACTATTAATCACAGTGTGTAATATTGATATATGAAATATTACAAATAATAATGTACAACATTTACAAACCAAGGAACGTGAATTCTATTTTGCATGCAAAGTACGTTTCTTTAAATATCTATAATATCACATTTACACAGTAATAAACCTTCTAAATTTTGGACACTGACGGGTTACACAGAACTGATACTAAAATATGTAGAAACCGGTTTGGAGTTGTCGACGATCGTCTGACTTCCTTCTGTTCTGGGAACACCGCGTCTCATTTTTTTATTTCGTATCAGCTCTAAATATAATCTACCAAAGTGTTCATCTCTTCGTATTTAATTCTATCTTACTCGAAAAAATTAATCTTTCCTCCGCCGTCATTTAATTATCTAATCCCCATGCTTGTGCAAAAGTATTCAAACGATAAAGAACAATTTTGCAGAATTTAACGTTGTTTCGACGGTTCTTCTAAATGTATCTACAACTTCTTATCTCTCACGAAGAAAAGAGAGAAAATGTTCCAGCGAACGTCAGAAAGACGTCCTTTTTCTCAGGAACATTTATAAATATTGCCTATTGCTCATTTTCATTTTCCCAAAAATTCTACTTTCTTTTTTAAGTTGCCGAATAAGGAGATATCAAAAGCCTGGTATCAATTGTTTCATCTGCTTACAAGGAACGTGCGATTAAAATTTAGTTTCAACATCTCTCAAGGTTTTTCAGTTGGTGAACTTTCAGGAAATCGTAATTAAAATTTTTATCCAACGAAACGACATGATTTCCCCGCTAAAATATGTAAAACCACTCTTAAAAAACAGTTGTTTAAATATGAAACTATTTCGCAACTTCTGGCCAAAAAATCACGTGCAATATTACAAGCAATTTTATGTTCACCTAATTTCAATAAATTACAAGTCATTTTCTTTCTCAAAAATCATCTATTTCACCTAAACACCTCTTCGCCCCTCTTTAACAGAATCTTCGATCTACCTGCAACCGAGGTACTCGTTCATCCTTGAAACCACAGCACCGCGACATTTATTCAAGGAAAATGGAATTTCGCAACAAATTACGATCTTCTTCCGAGATAGAGAAGAAAGTGGAAAAATTTCCAAAGGAAATCCGTGCACATCTCTCGCGTTCATTTCGTTCCAACATTTACTGCCGCTACACAAATAGATTTCGCGGTCTCGAATAACTTCCGAGGCGAATTCACAGATCAGTCCTCCTCTGTCTTCCGCAGACACAGCAGCAAACAGTGTTCCTCTCGCGTCGCCGACCGCGAGTGCCACGTTTACGTTTCTCGTGGAGCAAAATTGAGGGAACGATTAGCGCGCTTATGGAAGGCTAATCTAGTAGCTCTGTTACTGAAAATTGTGAGTCTTATTCAGCTTTATTTACTCAAGAGAAAACAACGGTAACTTTGGCCAAACTACGTTGGTAGCTTAATCAGAGTCCGATAACGAGACTCGCAATTTGTATTTACAGTTCTTCCAGAAATTTAACCGATTGTGATCAACAGTGGACGAAAGGGAGTCTGCTTAATTGTCAATTATCAAAGAGAAATTCGTAACAATTTCAAAAAAGCTTAAGCAATAACGTCAATCGAATGCCTCAACGAGAATTCATTAATCAGATTAAAATACAATTTACACGTATTCCTCAATTTGAAATGAATAAAACAGAAATCCTGTACATACAGATTTGTCAACACTTCCCAACACGAGTTTCCATTGGAACGACGAATGCCTGTCTTCCCACTGTTCTTATCGCGAGGAAGTGAGTAATTTGGTTTCCTTCGACAAAAATATAATCCACATATTCCTCAATTTAAGATAAATAAAAAGAAATACTATAAATACAAATTTTTCAAGACTTCAATTCACACTGGACACAATTTTCCATTGAAACAACGATACTACAACTTGAGATAAATAAAAAGAAAGTACAACGAACACAGTACTCCATTGAAAACGACGAACGCCTATTCCCAACTACCGTTATCACGAGGAAGTGAATAATCCGAGTTCTTTCTTCTTTGAATAATACAGGAGAAAAAGGAAATCGCGACGTTTAACCTAAAAAATTTCGTCCAGCTACCAGCCAGTCGATCGCGGAACAACCTACATAAAACACCGCTGCATCACACCGACAATCTCACTTCTCGACAGCAACCGTTTGCCGAGGAAAAAGATCCTATGCAGTAGTCAACATTATTATCTAATCGGTTGGAAGCGTGCGTCATGACTGATGGATAGCAATTCTAATTCAACAACGTGTTAACCGTAGTGTAAAGAGTTGTCTGCAGCGGCAAGTGTTCAGACTTTTGGTTCGTCCAAAATACGTTTTATCCATCGAAAGGTACACGTTCGATCGATCTACGTTTAAAAAAACAGTGAGAAAGTTGGAAAGTGAATCGGCAATCCAAGTTCCACACAACGTCACCATGAGGCTTCTTCTATCGATTCTTGTGACGTTATCGGTGTACGGTAGTCGGTGCAACGGTTTACGAATTCTTGGCTTGTTCCCGCTGAATGGCAAGAGCCATTGGGTCATGGGAGAACAGCTAATGATCAGTTTAGCGAATCGAGGCCACCAAGTGGATGTCGTCACGCATTTCCCCTTGAAGAAACCGCCGGCAAATTATAGGGAAATTTCGCTGGAAGGAAGCTTGGAACCGGTGGTGAACAACATGAACGCGTCTCTTATTGAACGAATCAGCACGAACGACATGAGAAGCCTGGTGTACATGGCTGGAGACAGAATCTGTAGCTTGATGGAGCACGAGAAGCTGCAGCAGCTGATAAAGAATCCGCCTAAAAATCCGCCGTATGATCTTATCATCGTAGAGGTACGTTTGCAAGTGTGTATTTGCGTGGATTTCAGGTTTCGACGGAGTGGTATTATGAAGTTATCGTTGTTCAGGCTTCTGGGAAAATGTATTTCGACGTTAGGGAAGTATTGGAGCTCGCTTCGTTGCGTTTTCGTGATAGATATTTGATCGTGTATCGTAAATAGCGCACTCCTTGTAATCATGGTTCGATAGGAGTAAACAACTTTATCAGGGAAAGTTGGAAAAAAGGGTATCTCAAGTGGACCTCAATCGAGATCATTGAGCTCGAACCTTGGAGTATTGAATGTCGTTTTTCTCACATTTTCCAATTTTTCATATCGTTCTACTCGAACTTTCGAATTTTCAATGCCATTCTTCTCAAATTTTCAATATCATTCTTCTGACATTTTCGAATTTTCTTTCTTCTAAAACTTTCGAACTTTCAGTATCGTCCTTCTCAAATTTTCAATGCCATTCTTCTCAAAGTTTCAAATTTTCAATACCATTCTTCTCAAACTTCTGAATTTTCAATACCTTTCTCCTCAAACTTTTCAATTTTCCATATCGTTCTTCTCAAACTTTCGAATTTTCAACGCCATCCTTCTCAAATTTTCAATATCATTCTTCTGACATTTTCGAATTTTCAATGCCATTCTTCTCAAAATTTTCAATTTTCCATATCGTTCCTCTCACACTTCCGGATGTTCAATATCGTTCTTCTCAAAGCTAACGAATCTGAGATTTCTAGACAAATTTTACTTTCGCCAAAATTTTTCTCGACGATAAAATTTGCACTGTTTATAAAGACACTGTTTTCATCGTTAGGAAGATAAATAACGAACGTCATTGTCCACGACGGTCAAACGAGTATCGCTACTCCTCCAGCCTAGAAATAGTGGTTCTCTATTATCGCTTCGGTAGTAACGATTTCAAGAGACTTCCATAACGTTCAGTTTACTAATTCTACGATAAAGTAAGATAAAAGTAAAGTGAATTTGAACGCACTTGACGTGTTAGATAACAGAATTGAATCGTTCGAAAGATCACACATGCGACGGAGAAGCAATTTTATAATTCCCTTTTACATGTATGAATCATCGTTTCACGGCTTGTATAACAAGTGACAATTAGCAAGCGAAATCCTCCGCACGATCTAATTCTAAACATTTTCGTTCAGACGTTGCACACTTTTATCTAGAAACTATTCGAAACACGTATTCGTGATATTATCTACTGATACGCTGTGGCATAATTATTCGTTATCGGAATAATTACAGAAAAAACATAATGAAATTACGCTAAAACTGTGACGCTCGATTTATTGTATTTTTCTTCAATTTTATCCTGACAAGAAATTCACAAATTATCTATCGTTCAATTTTTTATTATCCTTTTTTTCGTACAATAGTTGAACGAAGTAGGAAAAACTTACAGAGAAAAAAGTTTCGAAAAGTTCAGCGCATCTCAGCTTGTTAAATGGTTTAATGAGAGGGACTGCGAAGGCGAGATGAAACTTAATCGAGATAATTCCAACAGAACATTCACTAATCAAGCCTTCGATCCATCCGTTTTATTAAATTTCATATAAATTCAATTCCTCGAATTTTCGCAATTTCTTTATCCTCTTTCTTTTACCTTTGTAATTGTAATTTTACAGAAAATTTCCTTTCTCGATCTCAATTTTTGTATTTACATACACCTTACGCACACTTTTCCTACAGAAAACTGTAATATCAGCGGAGCTCAATTGGCCAGATTTGTGTACTTTTTGTCAATTTTTTTTTTTTTTGTGCAGAAGACGCAAACACGCGGTATTTTACCGTCATCATGACGATGCACGAACATTTATCATCGCTGATTTTAGTTCTCACGTATATTCGTGTCGTAACTAATACCCAAGCCGAGTGTGTAAACAGAATAAGTTTGCAGTTCATAATGCTGTTTTCATTAGTCTGACGGAGCTCGATCCCTGAAAACACCTCGCGTCATTGTAATTTCGTTTTGAAAAGTATTAGCTACACTTTGGATCACAGATCTTCAGAAATGTAGAATTTCATTTTTGTATGTATTACACAATCACTCTGGCGAGTACTAGTATCAGGTCATCTCATAAGTTCGGAAGCGAAAAATATTTTAATGAAAATTCAGGGAAATTCTATAGGGACACATAATGGCTTTACCGAAAAAAAAAACTTAAATAATAGAATTTAATAGAAAAAATTGAAAGACTAAAAAAGTCTTACCAAAAAGAAAGAAAAATAGGAAAAAGTTGTGGAATGAGAAGGCGCTAACTTTTTTTATCAAATTTGAAGGTTAGGTTCTCTAATTGTAAATGGAGAATCGAAGATAATATAGTAGACTGGAAACGAAATATAACTCAGAGATAAATTAGGTTCCTTTGATAAAATACCACGTTTGTTAATCATTCCTAAATACCAGTAATTAATTCTTCAATTACTCCATAAAACTTGATGAGTCTTCACTTCTACGTAGATAATATCACGAAATTAATTTCGATTTAATTCGTTAAATTAGCTTTAAATCAATTTTCACGAAATACGTACACCTTTGATTCACTTCTATGCAACATCATAAATCATTTCCATGAAATATTCTCATCTTCACATAACCTCAAAAAAATTTCGAAGCGTAGAAACTTCTACAATTCTTTCTTCCTTTCCTTTCATTTTTTAAATTTAGAAGCGTACTTTAGGTAGCTTTAACGTAGAAAATTTTGAGATTAAAAATTATTGAATTTTTTTCGATATAATAAAAATCGACGAGTTTCTAGTTTCCACGGAATACCGTAGGAATTTTAGGTTATGGACAGACTTCGCACAGAACGAAACAATAATTACTATATTTCAGTAAAAATGTAAATTCTTAAATACACTAACAAACTTATTTCGTCACTTACACAGTTTTCCAAAAATCACAGAATCCATACTTATATTCGACACACAATCCTGGCCACACTGATTTCAATAAGACGACAAATCATCACCGAAAAGTGTTAAAGTCGGTGGGTCTCTAGTGACCCAGCCGTAGGAACTTTAAGGTTAAACGAATTATTCTCGAAACTGTATTGTCATACCTGACAGCATCCCTAACTTACATTCCTAAGCAAATCAGCGTACCTCTAGTGACCCAGCCACTTGAGGGTTAAACGAACTATTCTCGAAACTTTATTGTCATACCTCGCAGCACCCCTAACTTACATTCCTAAGCAAATCAGGGGTCTCTGGTGACCCTGCCGCAGGAATTCCAGGGTTAAACGAAGTATTCTCGAAACTTTATTGACACACGCTTCTCACAATGTCCCTAACTTACATTCCCACTTGTTTCCAAACAAAGGAAGCGAGTCAGAAAGACGGTAATCAAGGCGGAATATCTTATCGTCGACAATGATCGTCTTAACCCCTTAACCTACGATTTCTTCCCTGACTATGCATCTAAGCGTCCGCCATTTAATGTTTCACTACTGTATCAGGCAACAAATGCTAATCTGTTACAAATTAAGTACATTTAGGAATCCTTAATCTTACAAGCTAAAACGAAAGTTAGGATTACGATGAATTTTTCTTACCGATATATCTATTTTTCTCACATCTCCACCAGAATCTCTGTCACAAGTCTGACACGTTGTTGTAGGTTAAAGGGTTAACAGTGATTTCAGCAAGATCTCTTCACTAATTTCAAAAATACAAAACCAACGCGAGATTCCGCACACTTTTTCCAGCTATTCGTCGCACCATGTTACCTAGCATTCGGTACCCACCTATCCGCACCTATGATCGGCGTGATGACCTCGAGTTTCCACGAGTGGGAAGCCAGCCTGACAGGAAATCCCCATCATCCCTCCTTCGTACCGAGTATATTCTCACCGTTCGACCAGCAGATGACATTCTGGGAGAGGCTGATGAATACCTTTCTAACGAACCTGATCTCAGCGCAGCTCAACTATCAGACAGCTAAACAGGTCGACTATGTGAAACAACACTTCGACACGAACGCGACGATTGCGGAACTTTACAAGAATCTGGCCGCGATTCTTGTCAACTCGCATCACAGCGTGAACGGCATCAAACCGATGACTCCAGGGATCATCGAAGTAGGCGGTTTGCACGTCAAGGACGAGACAGCATCTCTACCGCCGGTGAGTATCTGTGATTTAACGATAGAAGAATCGTCCAGGTAAAAAGTCACTCTGTGGCGATTAGGCTACGACGGGTGAAAAGGAAATAGAGAAGATAGACGGGAAACTTCTGGTGGACTCGTCAGAAAGGCTGTCAGACTCCCATGTGCATACAGTTACTCCCAATTAACCCTTTCGCTACGGCAGATTTTGACCGACGGTGAATTTTTAACCACGGCTGCGAAATTTCTTATTTTGGCCGTATCGTTTTAAAAGTCGGTTTGTTGAATTAAGATGGAAGTGGGTAAGGACGAAATGAAGTATCGAATTAGGGTGGAAGTGCAGCGAAAGGCTCCAAGGATATAGTGCGAGCTTAGAGGCGCCAACAGTAACGAAAGGGTTAATACTCGGATAGTCTTTAGAACTGTGCAACTGTTTTTAAATTCGACCAAACGACTTGAGTTTTTTTGAGAAGTCAGAAGGATTAGTTTACTATACTGGATATGAATCAGTAAAATATACTAACAGTTTTTCTCTACAAATAATTCCTTCCTACTGTCTAAAGAAGTTTGAAATGTATTTCACTGAGAAATCTCGAATCTCGAGAAATTCTAAATCCTCCAATGATTGGGAAACATCCTGTCTGTTATTCCCGAAACTTTCGTCGTCTTCGGGACAAATTGATCCTGCGGGAAACGAAAGAAGAAAAGAAATTCCCTCGTGAATAGAAAACTCCTTAGAATTTCAAAATACCTGTCCAAAATAATAGAACACTAACACCATCGTCTTCCATATAAAAAATATTTCATTATTTACAAACTATTCACACGTGTTAAAGAAAGAAGATAGAATTAAGGGACAAGAAAAATGAAAATTCTACTATAAATAACACATTATCTTGACCTGAATGCAAGAATCTTGGGATACTATTACGATGATTGATCGAGATTATGATGCAACGTGCAATTAACGTAATGCATTCGAAGCCATAGAAAAAGTCTCGCGAGCACGCAACTGTCCAGTCAATTCACCAACCTCGAGTTCGTATTACGTATCCTCTGTCTTAATTACTTTTTAATTCCAAGCGAGTCGTTCAATTTTCTTCTCTATTTTTTTTTTTTTTGCAACTGAAGGAATATGGTTATTATTATAAATAACGAGACGTGAGTAGGGTTGCGCTAAGTACCCTCACGGTATTAGCACGATCTTTATTGAAATGGACTGTCGGCGTTGGAGGTCCGTGCCTGACTGGCCTCCTTGGCGGGGGAGGTTTTTCCCCTGACGTCACTTGGCGGGGGAGGTTTTTCCCCTGACGTCACTTGGCGGGGGAGGTTTTTCCCCTGACGTCACTTGGCGGGCAGCTGAGTTTCCTCCAGGTCAAGTACTCGTGACCTGCCGGTTCGGGCCTCTGGGCCTCGTACGGCTGACCTTTCGGAAACCCTTGGTTTATGATGCGGCAATTTGCTATTGAGGCCGTCGGAGAAAGTTTCTACGCGGACATGCATTGTCGAATTTTTAGAAATTAAATAAGCTAAAAACGGTTTCCTCAAAAATAGCCTTTCAAGCGCGCACGTCATAAACCGTGCTGGTAGTCTGCTCGCCAAATGTTTTCCGCTGTAGCTGGTCGCTACACAACCATACATTTTCCAATCCAACTATTTGTCCCATTGAAGTGACAACAGGAACGAAATAAAATAAAATTGCGACGAAACAAAATTCCTCGTTTAAGACAGAAAACGGAATCTCCTTCTAAATTCGCTGTTCAATTAAAACAGGAAGTGCAAAAGTGGCTGGACGAGAGCACACACGGTTGCATATACTTCTCGTTCGGGTCGATGGTGAGAATCGAGACCTTCTCTAAACCTCTCATCGAAACTTTCTACAAAGTTTTCGAAAAGATTGCGCCCGTTCGTGTGCTGATGAAAATTGCGAAAAAAGAGGATCTGCTTCCTGGGCTGCCAAAGAACGTCATGACTCAGCCCTGGTTCTCTCAAGTGTCCGTTTTCAGTACGTAATTAAATAACTTTTTTAATAATCACCTGGTTCGAGGAAACTTGCTAACAACACCGTCAAAAATGAACACGTTCCAAGAACATTTTCCACCTTTTCTTTCGTCAGAATCGTGAATTATGTTCAATTATACCCGACGTCCGTGAGAACTGCAAGATTGCAGCTCTTCCAGGATAAAACGAAAATTCATGTTTTATTGAATTTACATATGCAGAGTGTCTCACGTAAAACTTAGCAATTCATGATTTCAATTGATTTTGAAATGATTTTATTTCCAGCAGAGGATATGTTCATATAAAATTTAACACAAATAGAATAATTTTACACGAAAACGTTTAAGGAATTCAAAGACCACATTTTTGAAACGAGCTATAATACTATGATGTGAAAAATATGCAATGCTATTTAAAAAATGAAGGTGATCTCGACTGTTTTTTGGAAAAAAATCTTTTTGGAAATTATTTTTATTGCAACTTGTAGTCGACTAAAAATTGATCAACTTTTGTTTAAAACACATTTCCGTCAGATCACCGGAAGTGCTTGAAAAATCGTGGTAAGTGTTACGTGGGGCACCCTGTTATTTTCTTGTTTGTTGGTTTTTACCGAATATTTAAGAATCGTGGAAATCGGCGATGCCGTTGACTTTCTAAATTTTTACCTCTTAGCTTTGTTAATGATATAATTTTTTCAATCCATATTGATCCATAGCACTACAAATTTTTACGAGACGCCCACTGATGTTCAGTTTATCTTCAGTTTATGTACTGAAAATTTCAACGAAATTCGAATAAAATCACCGATAATTTAATTCAAATAAATTCCTTTCTTTCTGTTTTTTAATCATAGAACATAAGAACACAAAAGCTTTCGTCACACACGGAGGTCTGATGAGTACGCAAGAGGCAATCTACTTTGGAATCCCTATGATTGGAATTCCTCTGTTCGGTGATCAGTTGACAAATATGAGGAACATGAATAACAAGAAAATAGCTGTGAACCTTGGATCAACAGAAAATATCACGATAGAAACTTTAAGCAGCGCCGTCCATACGATCTTACACGACGAAACGTACAGGTAAGTGTATTTTTCTTAATAATTAAGAATTTAAACGAATTTATGCAGTGTGTTAACAATAAAAAGGATCTAAGACTTCAGAGGCTTTCAATCTTCTGTACAATGTATTATAACACATTTCATTTCCTCATTTATAACACAAAATCTGGCCAAATTCTGAGAAGAATTGAGTTTTAGATCAGTTTGGTGAAATCTGAGAAACTCAACTATAATTTTTAACTCAGCTATAATTTTTGCAATCATGTAAAATCAAGAGGCTCGATTTAGTTCACCGTAGCAAATTATTGAATTTTCTTTATTCTCAAATCGATCGATGAAATTTCAGTGGTTTGAGGCTTTGAAAGAGTGCAAAGATAAAATAAGAATTCTAAATTCCCGAAATGTCACGAAAGTTCGTCAGAAACATTCTGAGATGAATTAAACCCTAAATTAGTTTGGTGGAGCCTGACCGTTACAATTTTTAAGATCAAGAGGCTATTTTTTTATTTTCGTAAAATCAAGAGCCTCGAATAATCTGACTATGTAAAATTATTAAAGGAGGATGTTAAAAAAAGGTCAATTGTGGCATACGGCCGGAACGAAAAATTTTTTTACAGCATGATTCTACGCATTCTAAGGAACGAAAAATGTAATTGTCATTTTTCCCGGGAATGATGGGAAAGTTATGAGAAATGCGGCTCAAGGTAAGAGAATGACCATATTTATAACTTAATATTCCGTCTTGTTTTCTTTCAAGACTCTAACAGAATTTGCATTTCTTAACTGTGTATCCACTATGAAAGCCAGAGAAAAAAGTATGATCTTACATATCAGTCTAAACATATGTGTATATGTACACAGTGTTCTGTCGAACTACGCGTAAGTTTAGAAACGTCGACTGTCCGCGCAAATGAAAATCGGCGTAGTTGGGAACCATACCCCGGTTTTACGGAAAACTGAAGTCTGATCATCTGCACTTCGTGTCAATTGTCGTATATTGTCGTTAGAATAATAACAAACGAAGTAGGTCGTGTGTAAAGACTTAGTTGTTTACTAAGAGACAGTATTTTTCCAGAAAAGGGTAGAATACGTATATGTCTCGGGGAGACAACAGTAAAAAAAACTAATTTGTAGTTGTTTCATAGCTACAACACATCTTATTGGAAGAAAAATAAACTTAGGATACGATAAAACGAAATTGTTGCAACAATTGATCTAATTAGCTATACGTAGGTTCTCCTCTATTTGAATTAAATCAATCATTTGATTGTGTATGTATGTATACATATATATTATTCACGCATGCACATACCGTGAAACTGTGGCTGTGTAGCTCGCAGAGACACGCTTCTCGCTTGATTTTTTTCCCAAGCTGAGCTGTTCGTTGTATACTTCAATTCGATGCACTAGCTTCTTGTATGCAGCGGCACTTAATTCACACGAAAGAATATGCTAAGTAGTAGGCCTGTAAGCACTAACTGCGTACGTGACGATCTGCCCGATTTCTGCTCACTGTTACACGAAGCAGTTCTAGGAAAAATCCTATGCGTGTGAGTGACCCTCAAGTATGTAACTTGGGCCTAGTCAACCTCACGTACCAAAACATTGCGGGAGGCTCGCGATGTTTTTTTGCTAGTGAAACATAAGAAACTCGAGGAAAACATAAGAAATTCCAGCCAGAGTCGTTGTCTGTATTACATCGAACTAAACACGAAGCTACGCGCCATTTTGAAAGTAAAACTATCGCGAGAGAGAGCGATTGCTCTCGAGAGTACCTCTCGCGAGTGGACACTGCCTCTGAGCTGGACTGTCGGAGAGCATAGCTCAACTGTCTGAGAGTAAACGTGTCGAGACTTGCTCTCGAAGGTATAGGTAATCATACTGCTGTCGAACAGTTGCTTTACAAATATGAAGTAATTTCGTATTCTTGTGAGAACTTTCGTAGGAGTAAAAAATGTCAGGAAAAAAAGATTGATCGAGAAATGAGACACGCTTCTCGTTTGATTTTTCTCCCAAGCTCAACTGTCCGTTGTGTACTTGAATTCGGTGCACTAGTTTCTTGTATGCAGCGGCACTTAATTCACACGGAAGAATATGCTAAGTACGTAAATTGATTCGAAATCCACGCACAATCGAAACCGCTTTATTCGAGG